CCTACAGGAGAAGGGTAGGAGTCTGGTTGAGGTCCCAGGGGCTGGTTTCCAGAGGCCCGATGGATGAGGTATTTAGAGTTCAGGGTTAGGACATCCATCTGTGGCCAATGGGTGGTGGTGAGGCAGGGGAAAGGACTAGCACCAGGCAGGCAAGCCTGTTGCTCCTGGGAATTTGGGTTAAAGAGATATGAATAGCACCCCCAAGAAACTTACCTCCATGCTAAAACCGTAAGTAGCTGACGTGGGGTTCTCTCCTTTTCCAAGGGGTGATTTGATGTTGGGGTAGGACAGAGCATGCATGTGTGTGTTAAGAAGTCTCAGTAATAAGAACTGGAAGGATTCCAAGGTGCAGATCTAGATAACCCTACATTCCTCTGCCCCTTTAGTAGCTGAGGCCCTTTGGGATCCCATGGTAACAACCCAGAGAAGACAAAGCCAGTTTGGCTCTTAGAATCCCAGAAGGTTATGTTCACCCGGATGCTTGAGGGAACAGGCTATGTACATCTCAAGTGTGTCCCAAAAAGGATATATTTTGGTCAAGGCTTATATAATTGTATAAAGAATCATTGTGTGAGGGGCCGGCCCGGTGGCTTAGTGGTTAAGTGCACGCTCCGCTACTGGCGGCCCGGATTCGGATCCCGGGCACGCACCAACGCACCGCTTCTCCGGCCATGCTGAGGCCATGTCCCACATACAGCAACTAGAAGGATGTACAACTGTGACATACAACTATCTGCTGGGGCTTTGGGGGAAAAAAGGAGGAGGATTGGCAATAGATGTTAGCTCAGAGCTGGTCTTCCTCAGCAAAAAGAGGAGGATTAGCATGGATGTTAGCTCAGGGCTGATCTTCCTCACAAAAAAAAAAAAGAATCATCGTGTGATATATGAAACAACAAACCTCAAAAATGACAGGGCAATTATTAGCAGAGATGAGACGGAAGAAGCAAGCCTATCAATACCTCCTCCACTTTTATCTTAGGGATCTCATTTTATTTTCTTCTTGAGAAAATACAGTGCTTGCCCATCAGCAAGAAAGTTTTCCAGCTAGATCTAGACTCTTCTCAACACCCAAGGATATTCCTTGGATCGTTCCTTATTTCTAGCATCAACAAATCAGATGAATACCAAAATCGTATAAATTTTACATGTCAGTCAGATAGAAGAATAGTGAAAATGAAATGTTTTAAGACAAAAGAAAGCGTGAATTATCATTGGGTGACCCTGTTTAATAAGTAAAGGAATGCAAATTGATATGTGGCTGTAAAGTAGGGCCAATCCTTGATAACAAAGAAATAGTAACCCAAAAAGGATTTACTCCAAGCTACTGCTCCTTAAGCAGAGAGCCAAGAATAGTCTCCCAATTCTAGTTCAAGTCCCTCTTTCACCAACACTTTGCCTCCCTCCCCAGTTTAATTCTCTCACTGCAGGACTTGTTTACTGCTGGACTTGTTACTGAGGGGATAGGAGAGGTGTGGGGATTCCTCTCTAATCATTAGGCATCTTACACTACCCCTCAGTAACCAAAATTTCAGGTAGTACTTGTTGTGGTCATATGGACCAAAACACAGCATTGCATTTCAGAAGTGGGCACAGATGACCAGTGTTCAAGGAGACCTCGTGATTCCAGTGGAAAGGAGTTGTAGGATTCTGGATTGGACTATGGCTTATGTCATGTCTTCTGAGGCACCTATGCAGCATTGGACCATATCTGCTAGACCCTCACCAGGACCCCCAGGACCAGAGCATCTACCCCCTGGCTGAAGGAGAGCAGCCAGGACCAGTCTTTGAGATTTGAAGTATACAACCGAATCCTGTCCAGGAGGATGGCTGGGATTCTAGTAAAAGGGGATTTCCGAAGCTTTAAAAGCCCAGAGCTAGGATATGCAGTTCTGGTGAGCTCTTGGGAGACTCCCAGCTACCACTGAGCTCAGAGATCTATTGTTGATGATTAGGTAGGCCCAATCCCAAGGATCTGTGCTCTAGAATCATTGACCCATCCGGGAAGGCTCCTTAGGTTCACATAGGGTCAAAGAATTGGCTGGAGCCATCTGCGTTCCAAACCCAGGATGTTTATCTAAATGAGGGCGAAAGAAGTGATGTCCAACTGGCAAAAGATCAGGAGGCTTCCTTGAGCAATAGAGCCTTCTCATTTCCATGCTCTTCTTCCATTCAGCAAACAGGTAGATGCTGGAGGGGCAAATATCGTTAAGACTCTCACAAGGAGAGCTTGAAAAAAAAGTGATTGCAATCCAATATCAGAGATGACTAAGAGATATACACAGTGCCCTGAGAGCGTGAGGCAGGGACAATGAGCCCCATCTGTGTTGATCAAAGGCAACAGGCAGGGACTGAGTTGAGTCTTGAAGAATGAGTAGGAGTTTGTCAGTGTAGACATTGAGTGTCCCAAGCAGATGGAATGCGTAGAAAGGCTGGGAGACTGGAACAGAAAAAGTTTATTGGAAAGGGTTTATTTTTGACATGAGGGGCTCCCACCCCCTCCTCATCCTGATCCCTTTCTCCAGCTCTCCGGGTCCTCACCGTCTGCCCGGGGCTCCATGCTGCTGCCACATGAAACTGCTCCCTGCTCCCCACACAATTGTTAAATAGGCACTTCTATATTCACTAGAGGAGTTGAATGTTTTTTCAAATGCTAATTTATCATCCTTCAGGGAATTGCCTGTTCTAATCTTTTGTCTATTTTTCGACTTTTTGACTTTTTGATATTTACTTGTACCAGTTATTTACATATCCTAGACACTAATCTTTTTGCCTTTTATATTTGTTGCAGACATCTTTTCTCACTCTTTTCTTGTCTTTAAACTTGTTTATGGTATATTTTTGTCATTCAGAATTTTAGGCACTTCAGGCAGTGTGTCTTAAAAAGCAATTCCTACTTTCTGTATCTGGTTGAAGAAACACTTCACTAACCTGACAACATAAAAATCTCCTTCTATAATTTGCCCAATGAATTTCAAGTTTTGTTTTTCCCACTAGGGAAAACATACATCTAGGGGAAAATAATTCTAGGGTTACGTTTGGTATGAGATAGTCATGTAATTGGTTTTTTCCAATTAGGAATCCATTGTCACAGCATCATTTATTGAAAAGTTTATTCCCTCTCCCCAATTTGAATCACCTCTTTCACTACAGAGCAAGACCTCACATAGGCTGAGGTTTGGGTTCTCTATTCTATTCCATTGACTCTTCTGTTTTATCGTGTATTATGCATATGGAGTCATTATATCTGATAGGGCAAGCTTTCCAAATTTACTCGTGTTTCATAATTGCCTTGATTACTTTTACATCTTTAATCTTCATTTCATTTTTAAAGTCAGTTTTTGAGTCTCACAAAATGTCCTTTCAGAATTTTTCCTAGAATTGAAGGTATAGATTAACTTGGGGAAGTGAGATAGCCTTATGACATGGAGTCTTTCACTGTATAACCATAATATATTGTATCACTTTTGTTCAGGTCAGACAGACATATCATTTGTGGATATGTGGCAGAGAAAAATAAATACTCCTCATAGAGAAGGAATACGCTCAACCAGAATGAGAATTCTTAGGAATATTACACCGTGAAAAAGAAGGCATAAAATCTACTTTGCACAGATTCATCTTAAATATCTATAGAACAGTCTGAAACAAAGAAAAATTAGAGAAATAAATAACTCTCTAGAAGTTAAAATTAAGGTAGATGAGTGCATAAAAAATAAAAATCATCTGAAACCAGTGGAAAATGTTTGCAGTACAAAATGTCAGAGCAGAAGGAGCAAACTCTAACCTCAACGGTTATTAGAATGACAGGCAGAAATGCAGAGCTGAAACAGGTCCTTAAGTGAAAGGAAAGAGGCATCAGAGCTACGGAAAAGAGGGAGTTAGACTAGAAAAACCTAATAGGCAGTCACTGCAACAGATTGAGCACTAGCACTATGGGAAACACTTATCAGGTGAATTGAAGTGTTCGTAAGCGGTATCAGTGAAAAAGAAGTTAACCTTGGGAAATCAAGACGCCCCTTCCAACTCTAAAATGCTAGGATTCCATATGTCCTAGAGAAACAGTCTCCTTCTTTTTTCAGTAAGAGGATTCCTTTTCAATATAGTTGAAAGGCTGTATAGTTTTTCTTCTTTTATGTATTAGTATGACCAGTTACATTAGATTTCTTAGAATGTTGAACTATCAGTACACTCTGAAATAGACTTCACCAATTAATTAATTACTATTTTGGATTCCTGCTGGATTAGTTTTGATGATATTTTAGAGATTTTGCATCTATATTTATGAATGAAATTGGACTCCTTTTTTTTTTGTTGTTGTTTTTTTTTTGTTTGTTTTTAAAGATTTTTTTTTTTTATTTATTTTATTTTTTCCCCCCAAAGCCCCAGCAGATAGTTGTATGTCATAGCTGCACATCCTTCTAGTTGCGGCATGTGGGACTCGGCCTCAGGATGGACGGAGAAGTGGCGCCTCGATGCGCACCCGGGATCCGAACCCGGGCCGCCAGCATTGCAGCGCGCGCACTTAACCACCAAGCCACAGGGCCGGCCCTGGACTCCTTTTTGAGGAGGGAGATTTGTTTATCTTTGTTTGGGCATCTAGTTTGTGCTAATTTCATTTAAATGAATTGGAATAATTTTTCTTCCCTAATCAGAGGAATAATTTAAATAGCACAAAAATAACTATTTCTTAAATATTTGAAACTAACTTGTGAATCTATTTGGGCCGAGGATTTTTTTTTTTTTTTTTAGTGTCTAAGTGTGTGGAGTGGGCATGGGAAGGAGTGGGAGGTGGAGTGGAGGAAGTTCTTTAACAAAATTTTTAACAGCTCTAACATTAAGTCTAAAGGCCCTTTCAAATAATTTCCAAGGTTATAAAAGTTTCAGATAATGAGCCCAGTTAACAGATAGGTCAAATGTAAAGCAATAGAATATGAAGAGAGATAATATAAGGTAAAGACACATGAACACCTGCTAAATCAACATCTGCTTTTGTTTCCTAGATCAGGAAGTGTGCTGCACCACTGGAATGAAATCTATTACTTTGTGGAACAGCTGGCTCACAAATTCATCAGGTGAGAGACACAATATGTATTTCTCTGCTATGAGTAAAACCAGCTTATGTTTGCTATTCTACTAATTACTGACTACTTTAGGGATGCTTTTGGACGAAGGTAGACTCTCAGACCTTGGAGTCTTTACTTTGACTTTACTTTGTTTTAATCTTCACCATATATTAGAGTAACTTTTGGCTTCATGTTTTCAGAAGGAACCCAATTTGGTTATAAGAGCAAAATTTTAACTTTCTCCCTCTCTTGTTGAATAATATATTCTTGTAGAAGGATCATTAACATTTTCTTTCACAGTGCATCACACTGGGGCAATTGACTCATTCTAGCTGGACTCGTGTGTGATATGTTGGATCAACTCATCCTCGTTTGCCCAGAACCTTGGCAGTTTTAGCACTAAAAGTCTCACATCCTGGGAGCTCCCCTCAGTTCTGGGCAAACCATGACAGTTGTTCAGCCTAGCTATGTGCCCTATCAGGTAGAATCCTCTGAGCACTCTCAACACCACTTTCTAAGGGAGGACAATGCAGTTTTGAACATCATCACTATAAACATTGCAGGGGCCTTGGAGGTCTTACTTTCTAGTAAGTGTAGACACCCATTAGTAAAGGAAAGGAGGTCATTTTACCCTCCCTGGGTACAGCCTTTAAGGGATAATACAATTGTGATAGCTTTCATGGGTGTGTTTGAAGCCAGTTGTCAAGATCTTTGGTACAATTGATCTGATGACTGTAAATTTTATCATAGCTCCACTCCTGCTGGATCGCCTCGTAGAGTCTTCCAGCCAATATGAGTAACCATAAACTTCTTCTTTGAATAAGGTTCTGCATCTCAGGCTACAGATTGTCCTGCAAGACCAGGGTTATGACAAATGTATTCCCTCCAAATTCAGTTACTGGTCTCAACATGTTACCTGCCTGCCTGATTGGAGGGAAAGGGTTAGCAGGTGTCCTCTCTGCCACGCCAAAAATTGGAAGCAGCAGCAGCAAGCATCTAAACCCAGAAGAATGGGAAAAACAGATGCTGAGAGGAGGGAGGGGAGAAAAAAGTAGAGGGAAAAGAAATAAACAAATACATGAGTGGTATTAAAAACAAAATATTTAAGAGAATCATAGAAACATAGAATTGAAAGGCACAACTTCCTAACATATCCTAAGAAGCATTCACTAACCCTCAACTTGAATAGCTCTGGTGAGAAATTGCTGCCTTTCAAAGCAAACAGTCCAATAGTTGGACAATTCCAGTTTCCAGAAAAGTCTTTTTTTCATTGAGCCAAAATGTCCTTTCCTGCACTCTTATCCATTGGTCCTTTGGAGATATAAAACAAATCTGCCTCTGGACACTTGACAGTATCTGCTATGTCTCTGCTGCTCTTCTCATCTTCTGTTCCCTCTGAAGCAGAGGAGTCTGGTGGAAAAGGCTTTAGAGTTAGGCAGATGTGGATTTGAATCCAAGCTCCATTGTGCAACAATAGCAGTTTACTCACCTTGGCTGAACGCTAGTTTGCGCATGAGGATTGTAAGAGAAAACATGTGCCAACCAACTAGCCCAAACCTGGCTTAGAGTGGGCATTCAACACTTCTCTTTCCCAGTTCCTTCAGGAACTGCAGACTCTTCACCATCTTGAAATCAAAGAAAGTTAGAGGTAGGGCTGGGGCTACCTAAGAGACCACTTAATCTACTCCTCACATTTTATAGATGAAGAAACTGAAGACCAGAGAAGTTGACATGTCTTAATCCAGACCATGAGGCACTTTCCTCTGGTCCTCCTTGGCTACAAACCCCCTCATAGTGGGGCACCAAGAGGTTACTGTCATGCAAACTCCAAGAGGCAGGGACTGTATTTTATACCTGCAGCCCCAGTGCCTGTAACAGTGCCTGACACATAGCACATGCTCAATCAATATTTGAATCAGTGAATGATTTTTGTTTACTCACTTTAATAGTCTAGGCAGCTGTTACTTCAGGGGGGAAACTCATTTGATAACAGTGGCTGATGCCAGTACCAATATATCATTTATAATTTCAGTGGGATCCTTGAAATTTCAAGTCCATCTATTTTTCTTTGTTCTGACTCCTTCCCATTTTCCTAATAATGATTCTAACTTCTCACCATTTTCTTTGAGCCCCCAACCTGCGCCTCATTTACTACACCCGTTTACTCTCAGCAACGAACGTCACCTTCTACTTCCCCAAGAACGCGGAGAATAGCAGACAAGTGATTACCTCAAGTTCCAATCCTACTCCTAAAAGATGCATGCACGTTCTTCCCATCCACCTCTGAGATTCAAATATCCCCCCTGTTTAAGAACAACCCCTCCATTTCAGTCCATTTCATCCCGTTGTCTCCAGTCTCCTCTGGGTCTTTGTCTCTCTCTTGTATTTTTCTCTACCTTTCCTCTGGCTCCATTTCTACTGACAATAGACATAAATTAATCTCTCCTGCCCCTCATCTGAAAAACACAAGCAAACAATGAATCTCCTGACCATGTCTTCCTATAGATACTAACCTATTTCTTGACTGGTTTCTCACTCAAATATCTTTAAAGACTTGCTGTCTCCATATCCTTACATCTCATCCATTCCTTAACCCACTGCCATCTGGCCTTTGTCCTCACTCTCCACCTGTTTGCTCTCACCAAAGTCGCTAAGTGGTATCCTAAAGGAAAGATCCAGTGAGCTCCTTGCAGTGCTTATTCTGATGGATAAAGGGGCTTAGTTTAATTCAGACTTATCTCTTCTTGAAATTCTCTTCTCCACAGGCTTCCCCTTCTCCTCTCATCTCATGACCTGAGCCAGGCTTTTAAATGTCAGTGTTGGTTCTAGATTTGGCTCACTTCACTTCTCACTGCTAACACTTTCTGTGAACAACTTTACCCAAATCCGTATGCTGAGAACTCCCAAATTATGTCTTTAGCCCAGACTCATATACCAATTGCCTCTTGGAGACCTACATTTCCCGCATTTCAAGTTCATCCTTCCCAGAGCTAAACCTTATATAAAGGAGGCAGTATAATACAGTAGTTAAGAACCCAAGGTCTAGAATCAGAACGCTTTTTTTTTTTTTTCGTGAGGAAGATCAGCCCTGAGCTAACATCCATGCTAATCCTCCTCTTTTTGCTGAAGAAGACCGGCTCTGAGCTAACATCTATTGCCAATCCTCCTCCTTTTTTTCCCCCAAAGCCCCAGTAGATAGTTGTATGTCATAGCTGCACATCCTTCTAGTTGCTGTATGTGGGACGCGGTCTCAGCATGGCCAGAGAAGCGGTGCGTCAGTGCGCACCCGGGATCTGAACCCCGGGCCGCCAATAGCGGAGCACACGCACTTAACCACTAAGCCATCGGGCTGGCCCCAGAATGCTTTGTTTTAAGCCCCAGATCCACCTCTCTCTCATTGCATGACCTTGGGAAAAATTACTTTATCTTTCAGAGTCTCAATTTCCTTTTGTGGAAAATAGGAATAATAACAGTACTGATCTTATAAAGTTGTTCCAAGTTTAATGAGATAATACATGCAAATCACTTACAGTAGTGCCTGGTGCATAGTAAGCACTTGATAAGCTTGGGCATTATTATATTAGTATGATCATTATGATTGTTATTATTATCATTTAGGACATAATGTCCTGCTGGCCCAGCACTGGTGAGGTAGTAGCAGGCAGCGTGGGGTCATGGACAGAGAACCCAGGTCTGTTTCAAGGGACCAATATTCAATTTATCAGGTATTGCCTGGGCTCCTACCAAGTATTAAACACCATGCTAAGGGTTTCCAAAGATGTGTTAGATGTTTTGTCATGAAAGTTGACTTTATCCTGGAGGCAGTAGGAGCCACTGGAGGTTTTATAGCAGATAAGTGAAAAGATTTGAAGTATATTTTAGGAAAATAATTCTAGAAGCAATGTGAAGAATGAATTGGAGCAAAGAATGATGATAGGCAAGGTCACCAGCAGGAAACAATTGCGATGGTCAGACGAAGGAGGGCAAGGTCTTAAACTAAGAGATGGAAAAGGGGGGCAGGTTTGAGAAACGTTCTGGGAAGTGGGAACTATAAGATTCAGAATCAGATCAGGTGTAGGAGTTGATTGCATTGTGAAGAAAGAGGCTGATGCTATGATGGATGAACCAGTTGGCCACCCAAACAGAGCCTCCCAGGATGGCATTTCATTGGTGAATCCACTAAGTCTGACAGTCCATCTTGCAGACAGAGAAACATGTTTGGTCCTCAGCTGAGAGTCGTTCTGTTTCCCAGGGTGTGGATTGTACATTGACAAAGCTCCTAAGCATTGCCGTATAAAAACCATGCCAATGTCTTCATTAATAATGAGAAGCATAACTACCAAGTGGAATAGATATTCTTGTGGCTCATCAGCACATTCTCTCCTTATAGGATAACCTCCTTGGGAAGCCAAGTAGAAATTAAAAGTTGATGGTGATACTATTTTCAGAACAAAAGGAGTTTGTTGTATGATCTTAATGGCTGATGGCATCAAGCTGCAACAGCCTGAGATACTCTCTTCATTATAGAATACACCCAACTACTGTGGAGTCACTATCAAATTTTGTCTATCGGGATCCCCCTTTTTATAGACACCTTGCAGACTAGTCCTCTTCTAGGGACACACTTGTTCAGACAAAGCACAAGGCAGTGATGAATTGTAGCTTTCTTACTTGTGATCCACACACACTGTGCGATGGTGTCAAGTCAGACGCAGCCTGCAGAAAGACAAAGAGAGTCATTTCTTTGGTCCATGGCTTGGAGGGTGCTGCTGGCTAAGTACTTGCAACACCGGCTGTGGGGGCTCCCTTGGGTTGTAGGATCAGCTCTGGCAGCTGTGATATAAAGGGAAGAACAGGGAGGAAGCCTAGAAGGGATTCGCATTTCACAGTCTTTCTATCTGCCCTGATAGAATTTCTTTTCCTTTCCAGCCCACAGCTACGAATGTCCTTTATTGTCTTCTCTACTCGAGGAACCACCCTAATGAAGCTAACAGAAGACAGGTAAGGATGCTCCTCATCCCTGTCATTTAAAGCACATCTTTTCCTGAGTAGTTCTGATATTTCTGCCCTAGGGTCAACCTTGACCTGTCGATCCTTTTAATCTAATATTTGTCTCTTTTCTCTTAAGCCTTGATCTTTAGACATTGACCCATCTGCTAGTTTGCTCTGACTTTGATAGAATTTCTTGATATTGATAGAAATTTTGTAAATGACTGAATCATGTTAAGGCAAATCTTACATTTGATTGGTGACTTGGTCTGCTAATTTGGAGCAAAACGTTAGCAAACCAAATTCTTAGGGGACTATATTTTCCTTTATTTAATATTTAAATAGGTAATATTTAAATTAAATTACCTTCATTTAAATTTCCTTTATTTAAATAAAATTTAAATTATTATTTTGTAGATTAAGGTTTCAAAGATATAACAAGTGCACTGTGAGAGAAGTAAGAATTTGAAATAGTATCATCCGTAATTACCAAGGCAGGGAATAGAAAGAGAGGGTTTATGGTAGCACAAAATAAAAAGAAGTTTGAATCAAGTGTGGAAAAATGTTATTGACATAAAGGATTAGTTAGACTTAGCTTAACAAAAATATTATTTTGGGTTTTACCACTTGCAGATGAAAACTAACAATAACAGAGACATGTCCTTTGCTCGTCGTCAGGATGGTATATACTGGGAGTAGAGACGACAGTTCGTTCCTAAATTAATGATGCTTTGTCCACTTTTTATAAAGTGACGTGGTCCACCTGAGAGAAGCAGCATGTGGGACCATTGGCAGATTTATGTATGGACATGTTGGGAAAAGAGAAGGAGAAATGGCACATACAGGAAGGGTGTGAAGACTTTATTCTATAATAACATTCTTCTTCTAGAAATGAAAATGGGGCTAACAGCATAGAGTAAGGTTTTCTGGATTTTGCACTGACACAGCAAATCTGAGCTAGTCTCCATTTTTCTCCATGTCTTTGTTTCCCATCTATAAGAGTACTTTGTACCATATAGAAGTTTTACAGTGCTGTTACGCCTTTAGCAATACCTATTATATGCATGCATGCCATTTGAGAGTCACAGAAACCCCCTTTTAAAAACAGGGGTTTCTTATTCTTTATTAACAAAAGGAGAAATTGAGGCCATATGATCTTCCTAAGGATACCGAGCAGAACCCACACCGGAAGCAGGCTCCACATTCTTTCCACTCTACCTTGCTGCCTTCTGTTAAACAGAGAATCATAAAGCCCAAGAAGCCTGTGTGACTTTCCTTCAATATTGGCCAAGGATTTTAAGAAGCTCTGAGAAAGTGTCTCTAGCCTATGGCCTATATGCAAGACTCCCAATCCTGCTCAGTCTTTATATGATGACATCCTTTATGCAGAGATGTCTTTTTTACTCAGAGAAAACACCCCTCTCACCCATTCTTGACATCCTCCTACAACCCGAGGCTGCCTAGAGCTGCTTCATGCTGACTCCACTCACTCCATGCCTAAGAGTTTGGCCAGGAGACCAAGTTCACATATCCCTTGTAGATATTTTGTGTGCTACTGCTCACAGCCTGTGGGAAGTTGGGGAGGGCAGAGAGGGGTCACGGATTTATAAACACTATTAGAACGCCTAGGGCTGTCAGACTCATTTTGGTTATGCTAGTTCAAAATAGTCATTTGAATCCTACTTTGAATCTAACTTTTTGTACCTTAACTTCACTACTCCTAGTTTCCCGTGCCAAGGAGAAGATAGAGGTTAGAATCTCCACTTTGCTGGAAGCAGCATTTAATATTTAAGGGCTGAGTATGCATCAAACCACAGCCAGAAATGTCTTGCTAAAGGTTATGTGGGTTTCATGTGGTGACTGCTTGGCCTAACCTATGGGTCAGCTGGCAAAGCATGACATGGTTCACTGACACATCCCCAGCCTTATCAGCCTATGGAAAAATGTGGGCAAGCCGTCTCTCTAAAATACTTTCTCGTGAGATTGGCTACAAGAAATAGGCTTTCAGAACTTTCAAGTTGATACTATTTCTGAAATATATGACTTTCAGTGTTTTAGTTGGGTACAGGAATTTTTATATTTTTCTCTGTATCTCCCTTGATCTTCACAACATCCCTATAAGAGAGTAAAAGATGAATTATTATACCTATGTAATAATTGAGAAAACTTACAGAGTTAAAAAAACTTGTTCAAAAAGAAGACATTAATTAGCAGAGACTCTCATGTTAACAAGAGCAAAAGATTTTGGGTAAATCAAAAGAAATAATATCAAAGGTATATTTGCATCCAGTTCTTGAGATCAAATCCACATAGGGGAAACCATGGAAAGTTCGAGGAAATAGAATGGAAAATAGATATGACGTGCTGAGATGTAGTAAAGGAATTATAATTAGAATAATAATACCTACCATGTGTGTCTTTTATCTTCTAAGCACTTAACATATTATTTCTTATTTATCCCCATATAACCATTACTACTTTAATTTCTAATGGGGTCTCTGTGGTTCTTTGATTCATTGCTTTATATGTAATATGCCATTTTCCACTAACTGCTTTCAAGACTTTTTCTTCAGTTCTCAGCCATTTGATTATGATGTGTCTGGTTTTCTTTGAGTTTATCATATTTTGGCTTTTCTGAGCTTCTTGAATCTATAAATTTACGTCTTTCCCCAAATTCGGGGAATTTGCAGCCATTATTTTTCAAATATTTTTTTCGCACCAGCTATTTTCTCCTCTCCTTCTGGGACTCCAATGACACAAAGGTTAGACCTTTTTATATTATTCCACATGTCCCTGAAGTTCTGTTCTTTTTCAATCTTTCTTTCTGTTCTTCAGATTATATCATTTCTATTGATCTATGTTCGTGTTCACTGATTCTTTCCTGTTATCTCCATTCTGGTGTTGAGTTCATCCTTTGAATTTTTTATTGCAGAATACTGTGTTTTTCATTCCTAAAATATGTATTTAGTTCTCTTTAAAATTTTTATTTCTCTCCTGAGGACTTCTATCTTTCCATTTATTTCAAGTGTTTGCCTTTACCTCATGAAGCATAGTTATTATAACTGCTTTAAATTTTTTGTCTGATAATTCTAACAGCTCAGGATTGGCATCTTAATTGTCTTCTCCCTTGATAATTGGTCACATTTTCTAGGTGCTTTGTATGTCAACTAATTCTAGATTATACCCTACAAATTCTTAATATTAATTTTTTAGACTCTGAATCATATTCAAATATTCTGGAGACTGTTGATTTTTTTTTCTTTGTTTGCTTCAGTAGGCAATCACCCTGGCTAGCTTCAGACCACAAGTTCTATCTCTTCTTCTGTGGGTGGTGGTTTTTATGTCAGTTCAGTTTTCAAAGCCTTTGTTAAGCTGCTTTGGGTCTGTCCTGCGCATGTGCATCTCAGAGATGAGCCTGGGGCTTCCACAACTTCATATACAGAATTAGAGGGACCCCCTTCTCCAGCTCTCTCCTCTCCAGGATTTCCCCCACATTTTCTTTCTCATTGAGGCCCCCCTTTCTAAGTCCTCTAGCAAGAAAAAAGGGATTTCTCTTGGGGTTTTGGCCACCACATTGCTGCCATGCTGCTCTGTACTAAGACTGCTCATGGGGCAAAGCCAAGAGTAAAAAAAAAAGAGAAATAAAAATGGGGATTCCTTCCACATTCTTTGAACTACAGGGACCCCTTTTGCCAGAGGCTAGAATTATAGGGGCTTTCTTGGCATTTTAGGTGACATTCCAGACCACTGCCATGTGACTGAGAACTACCCTCAGCTTAAAGCCACAAGAAAAAGGAGGGGGAAGAAATTGGAATTCAGCCTTGCATGGGTTATTTCTCCAGGTTTTAACTACCTTCTCCAAACTACCTGCTTTGTTTACTTTTCAGAGTCCTCATGTGTTTGTTTTTTTATCTTGTCCAGAGTTTTTTTGTTATAATCAGCAGGAGAGATAACCAGTAGCAAGTTTACTCTTATCTTGCCTGCTGTTACTTTAATTTTACAGATAAGGACACTGAGATTCACTTAGATAACTTGCTAAGGTCAAATAATAAAAATGGCAGAACTAGTATTCTGATTCTGGATTCGGTCCGACTCATGTGCTTTGTATTGTCTCCTATTACTCTTCCAAGATTTCTTAGCTTCATCAGTTTGCAAAACAATTGGCAAATTGTAACAAATTCTGTAGGTTTCTTCATTAGTATAATAAAGAATCTAATGTTAAAGTGCTATTAGTATAAATTATTTTAGTGTTAACTACTGCATATGATTCCTTAAAAACTCTCTGGATATTTTTTTTCCTGATCTTATTTGAAATACTTCAAATGTTTCATTATTTGGGAATGAGCTCATGTCAAGGAAGCCCAACTCTTCCCTTAAAAGAAATGAGGAATAGATATTCAATTTAATCAAATGCATTTTTGGCATCTATTGAGATGATCATATGTTTTCTTTGACCTACTAATACAGTGAAATGCATTAAAATATTTTTTAATATTGGATCATGCTTGCATTTCTGGTTATACTTAGTTGTGATATATTATTATTTCAATGTAGAGCTGAATTCTATTTTCTGTATTTTACTCAGAAATTTAGCATCAGTAATCATAATTGTGATTGGGCTGCTATTGCCTTTCTTACAACTATGTTTACATATAGTATTTTTTATATATATATTTTTTTACATCTAGATCATTACTTCTTCTAGAATTTATTCTGATGTAAGGTATAAGGCCAAGTTTCATCTTTTTTCTCCAAATGTTTAGCCAGTTTTTCCAACACCATTTGCTGAATAATCTTTTACTACCAATTTGAAAAATTAAACTCTTTCATAGACTTGAGTCCATTGCTGGGTTTTCTGTGCTGAAACACTGCAGTTTTATCTGTTCCTATGCTAAGATCACATTATTTTAATTAGTTTTAACATCTAGAGGACCAGTCTTTCCTCATTTCCAATTTTGGGTGAAAATCTCCCTAGTCTTTAATGTTTTCTTTCCCTACCATATGCATTTTAA